GAATCATCTCGTTCGTTTAGTTTAAAAAACATAATCAAGAACAATCTTACTTCTAAATGTGCAATAAATCTTGCACTGCGCACTATTTAATTTGCATAAACAACTTATAGCGTTTATTAAAAGTTTACCAGCAGTTTCAAGAGTTTCCGCGTTTTAAATCTATTAACGGATAAAGTTATGGACCTCGTAACGAAACCGGCAAATTAATTTTGATGGCAAGGTTCGTGGGATGAAACTGCCAATAATAACGGCCAAGTTCGTAACTGGTGACCTCACCTTTTTAATAATAAATAGAGACGCTAATGGTTCACAACATTTGAACACAATATTTGAAAATTTCAGCAATGTATTGCTTTCTAACTTGCAGATACGATTCTGCAACAAAAATAAACTCGATAAATATCCATCTAAAATTATTTTCTGGTTGAAGGAAATCCAAACAGCGTGTCGATGTTTAATTGGTAAATGTCGCATGTCGATTAATTGACATTAAAATTCGAAATGTGAAATGATGTTTTATAGACCTCTAAAGACATCTTTACAAGAAATGAGTTTTGTTTTTTAATTATGTTAACAAAATCATAATTTAGTTCAATAAAAAATTTGCTTTTGACACAAAAAGAATTTTACAGTATTGGAAGGACGTTTTGCCTCAACCTGCTTACACCCTGCAAATATCATGCACTAAGGTATAAAGTTAAGATATGCTTACTTTATCGTTTAAAAAAAAAAGGAGTGGTATCATCATCAAATCCAAGACAAAAACGGCCGGGTTTAGACCAGTCAGTGGTAGAAAAATATATAATCATAAAATTTATGTTTTAAGTTAATTATTATATAAAATTATCTTCAGGTTAACCTAATATTCCTGAAGGCCAGTTAAAGTTGAGCTAAAGTAATAGAACAAGAATTTATAAAGGAAGAAATGAAATTGGATATAATGTGACTTCAAAATAAACCTATCAACGTGTTGTAAGTTAGCAGAACTTACTTCAGCAAGAAAATATCTAACTGGGACAGGAAAGTCATAAGATTTATTTAGTTTTAATAAATATTTAATTAAACATTCGGTTTTGTTTAATTATTGAATTATTTTATAACGTGAAATTTGATTTTTACCTATCATTTTGGTTTGCCTAGCCTTTCAAAAGCGTTTCGGCACTGCACTATCTTCAGTAAGGAAATAAACACCAAACATCAATTTTATTTGTTCATCAAACCACTACAGGCAGAGGTAAGTTTGAAACTTTTTTGTAAAGCACGTCTTTCCAAAATGGCCGTTTGAGGTTTTTAAAAACTAATATTGAAATACATTACGGTTTTTTGTTGCCTATTCTGCTATTAATATGTACATATAAGATATCTAGAATAAAATCGTAATTCTACTTTATTTCATACCTACCATTTAGGGTTCACTTATTATCTAAACTTATAAGATTCTGTAAAGTAATTTACTAAATGTTGTCATAAATTGTCAATTAATATTTGCCCATAAAGCTATTTATTATGATCTTAAAAGTCTAATAATTGCCTAATGAAGTTGTCGAGAAATACGCGAATATTTTTGTGTTCAATTAATTTCGTCACAATGATAATTTCCGTGAAAGAATTCACTTTTCCTCTAGCGAAGTCTGAAACATCTGTTTATTCTGTTCTTTAATTACAAATACTTTCGCCAGAAAAGGTGTTTACTAAGAGAGGAGGATCCGAACCAACATACCACTCTCAATGTACTTCAGTATAAACATTATATACATTTTTGTTACAATTTTGTTATATTTTTGTTAAATGTACAGTTAGCCTCACGCCCTCCAGTGTTTTTCTTACATTATTGAGTTATCATTCCCTGAAGATATTTGTCCGCTGCCAGTTCTCTACTTTTTTCTTTTTTTGTCACGCTTAAAGAAGGTAAATCTCGGTTTATGAAATATTTTATACGGGATAAGCCTCCCCAGTCGTGATGAAATATTAATGAAACATCTGTTCTTCCATTGTATCCGTGCGATATATTGGGCAGAATATCACAAGTTTTTATGAGCTTTCTTAGTACAGAGAAGATTATAAATTATTTCAGCTGCTTGTCAACAGTGTTTTCTGAAAAAACAAAAAAAAGATCTCCTGTACGGCATGCCTGACGCCCATATGTGATGTATTTTGTTTTATATCACGGAATTCGTTCATCATTCACGTTTGGATGGATTATGGTGTTAAGAAGACAGAAAGAAACATAAATATAAAATAAAACAGTTAATTACTGTAAAATGCAAGAAAACAGTCTAAATCATAATTATCAATCGTAAAAGATCAAAATTCCAAACGGTACTGTCTCAGTTGCTACTATTTGGTCTGATTTTCCTTTTTTCAAAATACTGAAAACACCTATCTATAATTACTATGATTCTCAGGTGATGGTATGGTATGGTATGGTAGAAAAGTTACCAGGAAGCGGGGTTTGTTCTCCCCAGGCACTGCAGCCTTCTTGCTTATTGTACCTTCCTAGTTCCTTAGTTCAGTCAATAGACTCAATCCTTCTTCTTAGAAGTATCAGGTCATTGATTGTTATTGCTGCAATTTGATTCCCTAAGGTTTTTCCGTACGTTAGGTTAAATCTCCATTGAGCTGTTGCTTCGCATTTGAAGATGATATGAGTGGCTGTTTCCCCCTCCTCATTACATAATCTGCAAATGGGATCATCGCTATATATACCCATGTTGTGTATATGTTTTCTCAGTTGCCAGTGACCGGTTAGTAGTCCCTCACTCCCTCTCCAATTGCAGCAGTGTTTTTGCCATTCTCGGTGAGGGTTGTTTCATCATAAGTTTACTATGTCTAGCACCAAATGATCCATTCTGCGATGGAGGATTCTATATTTGTTCTTGTTATCCCAAGAATAGGCATATCCTCCTCTGGCCAGTCTGTCTGCTTTCTCGTTACCCAAAATTCCCCTGTGCCCTGGCACCCAAGATATCACCAGGTTGTTGCGTTTCCCCAGGTTTTGGAGTTTTTGGTTGCATTCACTGACTAATTTTGATGTAATTCTTTTACATGCTAATGCTTTAATGGCTGCTTGGCTATCTGATCTTATGAGGATTTTTTTGTCAGAGTAACCTCTTTTAAGATTTTCCAGGGCACAAGCATTGATTATAATCTGGTTTGGGATGGTATTGGGTATGTGATCCCAATAACATCCCAAACCAGATTATAATCAAAGTTGGTCGATAACTGAACAACCTCGTAAACAAGCATTGATGGCATGTATTTCTGATTGAAAGACCGAAATGTACTTCCCTAATGAGTTTGATTGTTCATGTTTTGGGCTTGTGCAGAAAACGCCTGGTCCGGTTTTGGAGCCATCTGTGTACCATATCATTGTATCTGATGCTTTCCTGTGTTCTTCCTCTCCTTTATAGGCCATTGAGACTTTATAGGAAGTTGTGAAGATTGTTTCCGGGATGATACAATTAGTCCCCATTTCTAATAATGTTTTGGTTATGGTTGTATGCCCGAATTGTTTAGTTCTTTCCAATTTAATTGTTTCTGGAGCCTATGTGAGCTTTTCCTAGCCTCTCCTTGTATGAATATCTCCAGGGGAGGTAGGTTTAGCAAAGTTTCTAATGCATTTGTAGGGGTTGTTCTCATTGCTCCTGTGATACATAGGAGTCTTTAATGTTTTGGTAGCTACTTTTTGTTGAGCTTTGTTCCACCAGATTAGTGATTCAAAGGTTATTCTGGGTCTTATTACTGCCGTATATGGCCAATAGGCCATTTTCGGTTTTAGTCCCCAAGATTTGCCTAGGGTCCTTCTTGTGGTTCTCAGGTGATAGTATCAACCTATATGAGGCTCACATAAAGGCCGTGTCATCAGCCGTAGTTTTTTAGCTTGTAAAGATTATTTAAATAAGGTTGGACCAAGCACAGACTATTGAGGGACCCAGAACTTATACTTCTTAAAGACGACCTTATGCCACCAACCTGTACAAAGAATTTCATCTTGGTTAAGTAATTGCTAGTTAATTGATTGACTAATTGCTTGAACTGATATGGCATGAGTTTAAATATGAGATCTCTGAACCAAAATAGCCAAACGCTTTATCCACGTCAATAAGTGCCATCCTTACATGCTTATTTGCATTAGCATTATGAAGAATCATATTCTCCTCTTTGGCCAGCAGCATGGTAGTAGAATGCATGGGCCTGAGGCCAAATTACCAAGGCATAATAATATAATTTTCAAACGTGCCTAACTCTTCGCAGTACTACTACCTCAGCAATTTTTGTGAGCGTACTAAGCATATAAATTGGGCAACAGTTACCAGGAAGTGTGTAATTTTTATGAGTTTTAAGAATAGGGATGCGATCGATTAGTATAGTGAAATAAATTAATACTATAATAAAATAGTACAGGAGCTTTTTTTATTTTTCATGTGTTTTACAATTAATTTTATCTCTATAGTAGTAGCTAGTGTACAGTCAGTGTATTTTTGATAGGCGGGAAGAAAGAATTTTTTAGTAACTTTATATTACTAAAAATTCAATAAAGTTACGAAGATCGTTTGGTAAAAATGTTAATTTATGATCAGTTTCTAAACATTCCTGTTTCGTCTTTGCTCGGATGATCTATTTGACCCGATCCTGTTCAAATTTCTCCAATGAAAACAGAAACATGCCTAATCACCACTTATAACGTTTAGAAAACGTTTTGCTGCATGTAAATTCAAAGTTTAATTTGTGTGATTTATCCTTAATATATATATTATTATATTAGTAAGTGTGCAAATATGAGCTTTGATGATCGTAATTGATAAACCGGTGGGTAATATCACAGACTTTTAGACCTAAATTGTTGTTTTATTACGATTTTATGTTCTTAATTACGATTCGAATTTTTTTATTTTCATTGATAAACGTACAAGCATTACGATCGAATTTTAAACAATACGATGGATTTATCTTTTGTGATCTTTTGAGGAATTAAAAAATTTCTTATATTTATAACTTACTCAGATGGTTGGTCGGGGTGGCCCGTCGGTCGTAATCCTTCTTGAGTAGCCTGTCCAGCGTTTGCAGATGGTCCAGCTTAGCACCGAATCTAAAACAGAAAAAATTACCTTCAGTTACACAATAAAAATATTCACGCCTCAATCATTTGCATTGTTGACAACAATAATCGAACTGAAATGCAAAGCTGACAATGTAAAACGCCCTAAAATATTTGTTCAGCAAACTGGGCAGACGTCTAATCTGTGGAAAACGATAGAAAATCTGCTTCCCCCTGGGTTTTTATTTGTTCGAATAAACATGTTTGCAAAATTCTGTTTCACTAATTTATCTCGTTTTAGAATAAATATTCAACAGAGTAATTATTCAGAAATCGTGAGATGCGGTCTGGTGTGATGTAGGTTTCAGAAAAACATTTCTTTATCGTGCCAACAACACAATGTTTATAAATCCCAGGCCCTGAAGATAATCTCAATAATGATCGAAACGTTGGCACGATAAAAATTCTGAATAACGGTCACTAATCACCACACATTCAACAGAGTATAAAATGAATATCTACGTTTGTTTTTTCTCCACTGTTAGTTTATTTTAATTTCTTATAATCTTTATTATATAATATTTTACAAAACACATGGATTATATTATAATCATCTTCTATTAGCCAGCTTTAAGTAAATGAAGTGGATTTGTGAGAAACCACTTTTAATTTTTCCATGAATTCGTTCATTCTGTTTTGCAACACGCTTAATAATCAGCATTTTAATGGGCACTTATAGTAATTTTATTTGAACAACCTTTTAAAATTGTTTGACATCGAACAAAACAATCTTGCAAACTACAATGTGTATGCTTTGTTTAAACATTTTTTCTTTTGAACAGATACAGCCAATAACCACAACAAGGGTGAAGTGCCCTATGAACCATCCCAAGAGCGACAGCTTTTCTTTTCAGAATCACAAACGAAAAATTAAATCTTGTATTTCAGGCTTTTCACTGATGAAGTTGACTCCATTTTCATCCACTTTTGATCCAATTGGCAGTTTATTTTCAAGTTTGAAATGTACACACTAAAGGATTGTCCAATTCAGGAACATGGGCATTCGTGTGAAGTCTGTCGTTAAAACCGACAAAAAATTGTTTTTTTTTTGTTTTGTTTTTTTATTGCTACAAAACAAACCTTCAATTATTATTTAATAATTACAAATTAATAATTATTTCAATTTTTATTGGGGATTTTTCTGTTGACTCTCAACACGACAAGCAAGAATGGCACATATATACAGAAGACAAACACTTTTAGCCCTGAAGATGATCTCAATAAAGATCGAAACGTTGGCACGATAAAGAAAATGTTTTTCTGAAACCTACATCACACCAGACCGCATCTCACGATTTTTTAATAATTATCGACTAACGGTCACTAATCACCACACACTTTTGATAATCGGTAGACAGCATTGAATTTGAGACGGAGGAATGAATGGCTACCCGACTTAGGATAGGCCATATGCGATTGACAAGTCTTACGCGAATCGCGAGCAATTTTCATCGGCTTGTAGATGAATCGATCGATCGCACGTACCTCCCGGTTCCGTATACAGACCGAATAGGCAGTCAGGTATGACGGTTGTTCTTAAGCAACATTGTGAACCTGTTTGGGTATCGCACGGACGATTCTTTTCCTCAGAGAATTATAAGTCGCCCGATAAAATATCGGGATATATATATAATAAAACAGGAATGAATATAGTACCCGTTTTATTTAACAGCTGTTAGCTAAATTTTTGACATATTTATATTTCTTCTCTTAAGGAATTGAAGTGCATTATTCAGAGGTAAGTATATACATTACCGTCGATGTAATGTTTGAGGGTCTAATAAGAGTTCCTTACAGACCTTTATTACCTTCGTTTTACCTTGGAGTAGAGAATGATGAAGGTTATACAGAAAATCCCCCCATAATCAAAGAAGGAGTGGAGGAATGAATATATTTAAGAATGGATGAGACATAAGTGATATATAACTAGTTTATAACTTGTACGTGTTGGGGGATGAAATTGCCTAGCTGACGATAGAGTTGAAACATAACTTTGTTAAATCGGACGAATAAGACAGAAGTCCTAACACAGGGAAGCCAATATGAAAAATCATGTATTAATAGTGAGTTTAACTTTTAAAAAAGTTAAAGTTTTGCAGATAACATCAATTTTCCAAACTTGACTCTTTCAACATTTTTAGTCATGATAATGCTCTTAATTTATAACTTCGGTACAACACATTGCAAAAATCTTCCTTCGTTAATTTAATTCTGGCTATGAACGGAATAAATGAATACTCTCTTTTTTCTTCTGTTTTATGTAATAAACGAGTCGTACAATTCCGTACAAGACTTAATACAAGACGAGTACTTTGCCTAATTTCTAGATCCGTTTCAAATTACCCTAATTTTAAAAATTGAAAAGCGGGTTTTAATCACGGCGGTTATTTGTAAAGGCACGGATCTATCTGATAACAGTGGGGAGATATTAATCAAAGGACTCTCTCGGTGTGCTTTACCAGCACCATTGAAACTTCCCCTCTTGAGGAATTTGGCTTGTCAACTGATTAAAGCTAATTCACTATTAGATGTTCGAGCTTTCCTAAACTAATATAATAATTGTAATTAATTATATTTTTTATCTAAGGACTTGGTTGAGATGAAAACGCTAGGTCACGAGAAGGATTAAAGGGGACACTAACTTTTTCATCTCAACCAAGACCTTAGATAAAAAATATTTTTAATTAAAATAAGAGTCAATTATGTCTGCTAAATACATATGTGTATAATATATAATACATATAAAATAGTGTATTTAACTGTTAAGGCCCGAATAAAAAAGGTTTCGTTTAATGCACTAGTTTTCGTGGTCCGCTTGACCAATCAATATCATTCAATTAATTAAGGTTTTTAGTTGAGATAAAAAAGTCAATGTCACGAGCGGGATTCGAACCCACGACCTTCGGCTAAATACGCCGCTGCTCTACCACTTGAGCTATCGTGACCTCGATCCACTCAGACACTAACTTCCCACCTCAACCCCACCTTTTGAATTTTCCCTCCTTTTGGCCATTTTTCAGCGGCGTATCTAGCCGAAGGTCGTGGGTTCGAATCCCGCTCGTGCCATTGACTTTTTTATCTCAACTAAAAACCTTAATTAATTGAATTATATTAATTGGTCAAGCGGACCACGAAATTAGTGAATTTAATTCAAGGTTAACGTTTGTTGTACTTCGTGTGGCCTCTACACTGCCATTCGACTTTGAATTTTTCATGGGGACCAGATCGGCATTATAAGCCTACCTCCCCAAGTAATTGTTGTTGTACCGACTCTTCAGGACTTCACAATAAGTTTTCACCGTCGCCATCGTCAACAGAGTTTCTATCGCGGATTCTTCTTGGGAAGGAACGACTTTTTTTTTGTTTCGAGCCGGATAATCACCAGTTCCTGAACAGCCTTTCAATCATCTTTCGTTGTCATCATGGATCGTCGTAGATTCGTAGCACACCTGCGGAACCCTCCTATCACCTTCTCGAGATTAAATTGCCAACTGCTGGAAGGTAGCCTATCCCACACCTTCTTCATCGGAACCTGTCTTCATCTGTTATCGATCAACCCTGGACTGACATCGTCTGATCGCCGATTGAAGAGATAAATTCAATTGATGTATTTTTAAATTTGAGCTTCCTGTAATTTATTTTATTTGCAAGCTTGAATCTTTTCTTTTAATTATAAGTCGTTCCTTTTTCAAGTATTTTGCTTGTTTTTAATTTTGTTACGTTAAAATGTAAGGAGATTCGCTGGTGCTATTTTGCTATCTGTAGTAGCCCCTCCCTCCAACAGTAACAGTCACTTATTTATTATTATATTTAAAAATCATAACAACCATGAAGATTTTATTCTTATTCTGTATTAATTATTAAAGTTTTTTTTTCTTGGTACTAGAAAAGACAGAACAAAATCTAATATAACAAATATAAACTGTATACACACGTACAATACAACAAAACACGGCGTCGGTGGCCGCAACGGTTTAGGCGTTGACACGGCACTCATCACCGTAAGGTAAAGGTCCCGGGTTCGAATCCAGCGGTCCTGCATTCGAACCCGATATACTTACAAATGGGCTTTTTTGTCAAAACCACCGGCACCACGAGGGTTGATATAACCTCTGCTGTTGCAAACCCTCGTAAAAAAAAATAATAATATAATCTTTTTATAAATTATTCAAGAAAATCAATCAGTACATTAATCATCGTAGCAACAGTCCCAATGGTTTGCATGATATTTATTATATAAATAGTCATATTTCTCTTTGGTGCCGCTACTGAAGACGGTGAAATGCCGAAACGTGTTTAAATAGGCAAAGACCGGCTAGTTACAAGTAGTAATTAAAGATTTCATCGCATCGTGATTAGTTAGATCGGAAAGCAGCACCAAAATAGAGCAGTCAAAATGTAATAATAATACATTAGGTAAAAAGTGTATAAAAATTAAAAAATATGGCAACAGTCGAAAATATACATGGAAATAGAAATAAGGAAAATCAAAGATTAAAATTCATTGCAGTTCAAGGGTAACATCTATATTATTCCTTAAAACTTCAAAAAATTTTCATTACAAGGCCATCTAACTGTAAACAATGGATCAATGCATGACAATTCAAATAACGGGCAATTCTATAAACACATTTCGAGGATGAGAGATTAGTAGAAAATGTAAAATAGTTCAGCCACTCGCGAACTCCGGCTAGGCTGACAGGGCTAAATAAGAGTTTAAGCTGAGTTGTGATAGAATTTCTGGAGCATCAATAAATTTATTTAAAATATTCTATCAGAATAGTGAAAAAGCAGCACGACAACGAGTGACCAAGGAGTCCGTATTCGATGCGTCTAGGGCCGTGGAATATGTAGTGAAGTTGAGACCAGATTTAAACATTAGGTATTTGGTAGCTTTTCTTTTAATCATTTCTAAATCATTTACCATTAAATAGGTCTTGTAATAAGGAGAACAATTTAAATCGCCGTATACAAGAATACACCTGCCAAAG